AGAGAACAGATGCACAGTGACATCATGGCATGGAGGATCATCTGTGTCAGAGTTCATTGAAGATACACGGGACAGAAAGCTGTGGATGACAACAAACGCCACACGGCACGGACTTTAAGAAGAACAAGAAGTGTTTTATGGTTTTTGTTAAATAAACACCGACAAACACCAACCCAACAAACCTATAACATAGGACTGTCCGAGGAACTCCTTAGGAATTCCATATGAAATCTTGGAGATCCCAAGATTGGGGTAAAATAAAAGAACAGTTCCATTTGTTTGAATATGGTGCTTCCTCGTTATTTAGTTTTTATACAATACCTTACACAAAGCACACAGAAGAGCCTTACTTCCCCTCTACCCTCTCCCTTCTCTCTGTCTCTGTCTCTCTGTCTCTCTCTCTCTCTCTCTCTCTCTCTCTCTCTCTCTCTCTCTCTCTCTCTCTCTCTCTCTCTCTCTCTCTCTCTCTCCCAAACAGATCTTCTTCTTTTTTTTTAAGTATCCAGAAACCATGAGTTGTCAACCTTCACGACCAGTTTCAGGATAAATAGAGTAGGCCGTGTTAACCTTTTAGCTCGGTACTATGGATATCGCAACCCTTCGGCCTTGATTCCATGATAGATACCGTAAATCTGGGAGAAATGTAGCTTTTCTGCCTACCCCCGGGCGTGAACCCAGACCACAAGGAGTTCGTCACCCGGTCCCCGCGAATTCCGGCTTAATCACTTACGCTAATTAATGAGCCGGGTTCCAAACAGATCGATGAAGTAAATGGATGGTGGAGACGAGGGAAAACCCCATGGATTTTCCCGTTCTATTTTTAGCATTGTTTACACAGCAGTTCAAAATGGCAGATGGTAAATTGTTGGTCCCTTAGGTTGGGTGACATTCATAAAAGTAAGAAAATAATTTAGTTTATCTTCGAAAGTATTTATTTCACAAGCTTTTCTAGCTCTTTTGTAAATCGAGGAATATCGATACAATAACATTTCTACAACTATACTCGACATAAATCCAGTAATAATAACACCACTGAAAACATTTTTTTTTTTTTTAATTTTAAGCAGAAGGTAACTTAACCCAAACTAGGCTGATACTTATGGTGATGTGGTTATATCTAGAGGTTTGATAATAAGAAATTCTTTATCACTTATGCAACTTTTATCAATAATCATTATATGCTTAGTTTTTTTAAATGATATACTGTTACTATACACTAATCTAGTACATGTCAATGACTAACACCTCACAGACATACGGTAGTATTACTAGTATTAGTATTTTTCATGTTGTATTTTAGTTTTTACCCTTTCCATGTACACTCACTGTCTTGACATACAACAGCTGTGTTTGTTAGCCATGATACATATGTTCACTATATCTCTTCTCCAGTCACAGGCAACACATCTGACACACTGACCCTAGCCAAGATAGACAACACGTCTGACACACTGTCCCTAGCCAAGATGGACAACACATCTGATGCACGGACCCAAGCCAGGTTGGACAACACATCTGACACACTGACCCCAGTCAAGCTGGATAACACATCTGACACACTGACTCTAGCCAAGCTTGACAACACATCTTACACACCGACCCAAACCAAGCAGGACAGCACAGCTGACACACCGAACCTAGCCAGGCTAGACAGCATGTCTGATTCTCCTACCCATGCTAGTCCAGACAACACACCTGACACACTGACCCTAGCCAGACTGGACAACACACCTGACACACTGACCCTAGCCAGACTGGATAGGGAGAATCAAGGTTTGTTCTTCTTTCTTTCATTCACTACAAATGTTTCCATCTTTCTATAGGGGCACAAATGTGCACAGTGATATCGTGTTCAGTCCATCTTGGTTATGCTTGGAGTGTAAAGTAAGTAAGTAAAGGACCCTTTTCGAGGTTTTTCAGGTGTATTGAGTATACAGGGCTAGATGTATACTTTACAGACCAAATAGCACTTGGTGGGTGATGTGGTCAGCATCAAGCTGGCTGCCCTTACTTTCCCAGGACTGTACCTGGTACCCACTCAAGGCTGGGTGGACCTGGAAGCCAAGGTCATTTTTGAAAACAATCCAGTCCTTTCAGGAACCGAACCTGCGACCTTCGGATCCTCAGTCGAGCATCTAGCTCCTAGACCACGGCAGCTCCCTATACTTGGGTTGTAGAGATTTTAATTTGTTTTCTTTCAATATTGATTTTTAGGCTTGTCAATTACTTTTAGTTATTTAAAATTTTATACATAATGTATTAAATGTAACAAACTAATGAAATATGAATTGTTTAGTTTATATTTTAAAATGTAATGTTTAAATAATTGTAATAATCATACTGTGCAATGCATGTTTGGAATACTAAAATGATCTTGGACTGCCATAATCTGTCTTTCTATATCTTAACACCTCATATGCCACACCTCATATGCCAACAGCTGTTCTTGTGATGTACTGTTTAATCTTTCCCTGTAATTCTCTGGTTATCTGTATGCAACAGAATTTAGTGTCTGTCTGTTAGTTTGCTGATTTCGGCAGCAGGGGTGCTAAAAATGGGGTGGTTGAGGGTGGTATTTGTCACATATCACTCCTGTCACGTGCCTGATGTAAGGATTTCTCCTTCAGAACCAACAGCACTCAGAAATAATTATGTTGAGACGTTTGGCTCGTATTGGTCTAAGGGATTCTCCGTGGCCAATATACGCTCAACTTATTTCTGGAGTAGGGCAACTCAAGTATTGGCACTACAAAATATATCTGTATATGAATACAATATTCCTAGGCACACTTGGCTGGACACCCCCACTACTTACTAAAGAAAGCCCCCAGCTTATGATAGGTCATTATCATAACCATGTTAACACATATAGTTAAGATTCATGCACACACAAATGCTGAATACTTAAAAAGATGAAATAGAGACACCTAAGTCAGCCATGAAAATGAATGCATGTAATCAGTACAATAAATATATATATAATAGAGAAGCAGATGCCAGATTTCTATAGCTGGATTCCAGGATACAATGTCCAGATCACCAAAATTACACAGACAGAAGGTCCTGGAGATGATACATTGTCATCATTGGATCACAGAGAAGCTGTGGGGAATATAGCATGTTATAGAGGTAAACTAGCACTTATCCTCTTTCTATCGTTGATGCTTCCTTCGGCTCCTGATGATTCGACTGTCTCTGGTAATTCTGCTTCACTGGATCAGATGGTGTGGAAGTACCTCACCATAGAGGACACAGCAACTGAATAGGCACTCAGCAAATCTCTGTCACCAGTCCAGTCACAACACTGTCCCTGAGCTACACACATGCTCTGGCACTGTAGAATGTTTGGGGTATATGGCACCCCATGGTGTTGATGTCTGGACTTCACAAGTGGTAATTGGTGGGTAGTTGGGTGGAAGGTTGGTTGGCAATTGGTTGACAATTTGTTGGTGGGAGTTGGTTGGACTGTGATTCTTCTGCCCGCTCGTCACAAAGGTTTCATCCTGCCAAGAAATAACTCAGAATTAGTCATCACCAAGAGGGTAACATCTTGACAGGAAAGACAGAATAAGTATCAGTCACCATCCCACATCAGCCTACTCCACCTCTGCTCTCCTGTTTCATCCCTCAGAGTGCCTCTCAAGACCAGGAGACACTTGTCTCCTATCATTCATCTGTCTGTTTAGTGCAAGAGATGGAAAGTAAGATATATAGTGGAGATAGATAGACACTCTCACACATATATCAATCTCTTTCCCCCTCTCATCTGCACACCGACACCAATATTTACCGTCAGTACTTCTATTTCCCCCCCCCCCCCCCCCCCCCCCCCCCCCCCCCCCCCGATTCACAAGCCAACCCAACACATTCATTGATCTGGGTCAAACGCACTCACACACTCCAGACCAAGTACTGACCTAAATTCTGTCCCCATTCGTATGCACAACTTCTGTTGTTAGTTTAAATAGTACACACTTGTAAGGTTATTAGTTTTACCAATGTGTGTGGATTATTCAGGGCATAGACTATTTAGTCTGTACAGAGGAAGGTCTAAGTTCAAATCCGCTTCTCTAGCGATCAAGAACGGTTGAACTATGTGTGATCCCACAGCCGATACTGATCTCTCTACAGCAGTGACCACTTTAACAGACATTGTTTTAGGTACTCGTAAACTATAATTAACTTATCCAAGCATATGAAAAGTCCTAGACATTACAGATTGCCTTTTACAATTGAATTATACAGGCGTCGATTGACACGTCTGAACGCTTGGAAGCCGGCAAAAAGAATGGCGCAAAATTCCTTCCTCAGGCGTTGGTAAGAAGTAGTTCCTAGTATACAGGGGCAAGGAGTAAATCGGTTCCTAAGAAACCTCAAATAACTCCTCAAACTTTTATCCAATAGATGTACATTTAAAAGTTGTATTAAGTCAAAGCAACTAGAAGATGTAGACATTATAATTTTTGTCCGATAAAGGCATATATCGATATAAGGGACTGTATTCTTCCCGGACGAGTCCAAGTTTGAATGTTGTGCTTTTTTACAATTAAGTTAAGTTACCAGTCTTTCGGACTGATGTGTGATGGCTTATCATTCCACGACAGTATTATGAAATCAAACAATACTACAGTGAAAAAATAAGACAATGAGAGCTTGGAAAGTAAACATAGGAGTACAAAAATGTGTCTTAATTAACTTCTGTTGCCATCTAGAGCCACAACTGTAAAGATATACACTCACTGGTTACTGTGTGATCATGGCCTAGGGAGAAAATTTTCAACTCTGAAGGAGTGTTAAAGGTAGGATGTAAATGGGTAGAGATGTCAAAAGTCAGATTTGTGGGTGGGTAATATTATTTGTAGGTGGCCTCCTTGTGATTATAAAGTTTCAAATATTTTTTTTCCTAAATTGATTATTGATGATGTAATATTGTCCATGACAAAATGTCCCGTATCTGTCTACCAGGTCCATGGGAGTGTGAGTACAGTTATAAAGGAGAGGCTGACCTTTACCAACTCAATGACAGGTGTAAGAAAAATCCAGGTCACAAGAACTTTATACCTGTTGACAGGTTCTGTATAGAAGATCTCCCCGAGGATTACCGAGACAAAAATGTTGTAGATTTTATCCGTTTAGTGTCCGACCTGACAGTTCGGGTGACAGTCAACTATGTCAGTGACAAGAGACCAGAATTGGCTCCTGGTGGTATCAGAAATTATCCAGGATACAATGTCAGGGGCAAGCGGAGGATCACTGTAGGAACAGGTATAGTGGCACATGTCAGCAACTCTGCCAACGAAACTTGTAAATGTAAGGATTGTATAAACTCTACTACCCCTGAGACAAACTTTGCCAAAATATTTATTAGGACAGCAACCCATGTTGTCTTTGACAAACTTGAGGCGGAGCACACAACATGTAATTTGTTCTTTGATCGAGGAAGTAGACCGAACGAATGTAGCGGTGTTGTTGCACTCACTGGTAACTTTGATGCGGTGTTCAATAATATCGACAAAGACACATGTCAGATTAGTTACATGACTCATCACCTGGAACTGGCTGACAGACTTCGCCAAATGTTGAGTCAGGTGGCCATTCTAGGAAAAACTGTTTTTGCTAAAATACCTAGTCATTATAAATTCAAGCTAAAGCCAAATGCTATGGACAGGTATCCATTGATGTGTATAGTGTCCCACCCTCACGGGTGCAGCAAACAGATCAGCTTAGGTCGCTGGACCAGTGCTGACAAGTTGAACAATCACATCCTCTCCTACCACTACACCGCAGCCACATGTCCTGGGTCCAGTGGGGCTCACATTCAAGTCCTGCACAGATTCGCAAATCAGCTTGATGAGCCAATGTCTGAAGAAGCTCATTGTGGTGCATCTGTTGTGAAACCTGGCATCAATTATTGTAACACTTGTGTAGGTCAGTACATTTTTTCTACACGTTTGTGTTAGTGTGTGTGTGGAAGTCCAGTGTGTATGAAATAACTGAAATTATGATTAAATTAAGATATGTTAGCCCACATATGGGAGACCTGGGTTCGAATCCTTGGTAAGGCTAAGGATTTTTTTTATCAGGGGCAAAATAAAATCCTCACCTGCACAGTTGTGGCGACAGCACAAGCTATGCGGCCTTCAACCTCTGGCTCCAAAGACCCCCCTGCCTACACCGCAGAATGGTACATAAAGGCAGTTATTGCCAGTCCACATATGAATTACTTTAAAAAAAAAATAAGACAGTTGTGCACATATGAACCTATATAAAGTATATACAATTTAAGATATGTTTATGACACATAAAGAATGGCATGAATAATATTTATAAAATATGTATATTTGGCCATGTTTAGGATCATGGTGCTGGAGACAACGGTGATGGAGGATGCAGTTTTCAGGAAGTAAGGCAGAAACCAACCTCCACAAAGGTGGATACAAAACAATTAAGTTGCATTGGCTATGAAAGCGCATAGGGCTGGAGGGATGAATGAAAGGAGAGAGAGCGACTTTCAGGCTTGCTAATGATGTGAGTGACATTCTGTAAAAATCTGCTTATTGATGATGATGATGATGATGTATAGACTGAGGCATTGAGGTGCAGATATTAAATGTATAAGACATCTATAATTATTTTATATATTAAGACATGTTGGTGCACACATAAATTATATAAAGTACATAATGAATAAATTGAAGAGATGGTAGTGCACCTGTGCACTCAGCTAGATAGCTGCAAATGCTAAATAGTGGTCACGCATGGACTGTGTGGTCTTGCTATAAATGATCAAAAGAGGACTTTGATACCATGTAACCAGGTGAATATGGACACCATTCTCAGAGAGGATGCACAGAGGTGCCATAGAATATATTTGGGGCCTCACCAAATTATATTCCCACTAGTAGCCACTTAGCCAACTTCCCTTGTAAATATGGGAAAATGTCATTCTTTTCTTTTGCCTGCTAAACCCCAGTGGAGCATAGGCCCTCATCCAATACATGCCAAGTCATTCTGCCCTTCGCTGTTGCATGCAGCTCACCCCCCTTTCCTCTGTATCTTTTTAACTCCACTGTCTAGCTCCCTTCTTTATTTTATTTTCTACTTTTATATTTATACCCCCTCTGGGTTTTTGTGGTTATTGTTTTTTACAAGATGAGGTAGCCAAGCCCAACCCTACCCTTAGTCGCCTCTTACAACATGCCTGATAGTGTTACCATTCTTTGCTTCCTGTGAGGACCCTGGTAATACAGGGGCAACAAATTTAATTAATAAGACAGTTATAACGGGAATATTATGATGATGATAACCTTGATAGATTTTCTTTATGTGTTGATAATTATTATAAAATGTATAACATGAAGACATAGATTTTCACAGGTACATACCACTGTTTCATTAGACTGTCTTTCAAAGACTGTCCACTTCCACACAATTTCTTACTATCTGACCAAGTGCCAATGATTCATTTCCATACATCAGGATAAGATTGATACAGGTCTTGACAAATCTCTTTATTTTGTAAAAATGTTTAAAATGATCATAAAATGCATAACATGAAGAGAGATTCACAAGTACAATGTTTCTTTTATCTAGCTTTTGAAGGCTGTCCAGATTTTGAGATTGTGTCTCTTGAAATGCTACAGTTGCATCCAGGTTTGTTGATGTAGTTGTTTCTCTGATGATGTAGTTCAAGTATCAAACTACTGGTGTGTGAAAGTTGTGGTTAATGCTCTGGTGATGTTTTTCAAGTTACTGGTGTGTGAAACTTGTGGTTAATACACTAGTGATGTTGTTCAAGTTACTGGTGTGTGAAACTTGTGGTTAATACACTAGTGATGTTGTTCAAGTTACTGGTGTGTGAAACTTGTGGTTAATACACTAGTGATGATGTTCAAGTGACTGGTATGTGAAACTTGTGATGATTTGTTATTAATGTCTTTTGCAGTTAGCCCCTTTGCCCCCCCCCCCACACGCACAAAAACACACACACGCACATCAGCATGTTGTTCTTTGAAGGTAGACTCCATAAGTGCAGTTACCATTTTGTTTCTATGTTTCGATTGTGCATGCAACACCTAGCGCCACTTAACGTACAAAGACATAAAGTTCGATGTTTGCTGTCACCTAATAACTCCTTTAGAAACCACCAACTACATTTTTCTGCCATCCCATAACCATTTGTGACTTACTCATTGTCTTCCCTTTGTATAATCATTTCTTATATTAAGTTTCATGGTAAAAGAGGATTTAGTTGTTTACTAATTATCCTTGTAAAGAAATATTGATATCCTAAATCATCTGAATGTCAAGGAAGAATGGCTTGTAAACAGCATCTGGTATTTGGAACTGAAATATTTTGGCCATATCAGTCACCACAACAGACTGGGGGAAAAAAAGTAGAAGGGCTTTGTGCCAGAAAAGAGAGGTAGGGGACGATCAGCAAAACACTGGGATTATGTAGAGAAGTGCATGAGATGGAAGATCTGGCAAAGTTTTGTAAGCCTGGGGTTAGCTAATGAGTCATACTGGTTGTTTATCATTTTTTCTTAGCCAGTTTCGTAATTTAAACATTTTTTAATATCTTCTTCTTTTTCTTCTTCTATTTCTTTTTTTTCTTCTTCTTTTTCTTCTTCTATTTTTTTTTTTTTTCTTCTTCTTTTTCTTCTTCTTCTCCTTCTTCTTCTTCTTTTTTCTTTTTCTTCTTCTCCTTCTTCTCTTCATTTGCTGCTGCTTCTTCTTCTTCTTTTCTTTGTTTGCTGCTGCTTCTTCTTATTCTTCTTCTTCTTCATCTGCTGCTGCTTCTTCTTCTTCTTCTTCTTCACCTTCCAACCTAACATATCCAAATTTAGCAAACCTTTAATTAGCCATATTTGACAACATGCTTGTTAACAATGTGCTTTTTCCTTACTTCCAAAATAGGGCCCTGGAACCCACATGGGTAACTGTATTATCTCAATATTATGACTTGTTTGATTCAAACATCTTTGTTTATCAACAGGACCATGGGAAGACAACTTCTGTAGTGTAGAAGAGGGAGACCAAAACCAACATTACGCCACCTGTATGAAGAATCCAGGACACAGGAATTTCTTTCCTTTTGAGAAGCTGTCTATGGATAATATTCCACCTTTTTTCAGAAGCGATGTATTAATAAAGTTTTTGAAACTTGCGTCAGATCTAACTGTCAGTGTGACAGTCAAGTATGTCAGTGAGAACAGACCAGAGACTGTTCCCAGTACTGATATCCCATACCCATGGTGTAATGACAAGGGCAGTCACCTGGTACGGGTCGGCTCAGGTTGGATTAACTGTGTCTGGATCATTCTTGAAGATGATGAGATGACTTGTGATTGTAGAGAATGTCGGAACTCTCCTACCCCAGAAAAAACATTTGCTGTGATTGCTATAGAAACAGCAGAACACCTTGTTTATGATGACCTAGAGGCAGAACGCACCACATGTCACCTGTTCTTTGATTCAGGGGAAATACCTGATGCTTGTAAAGAGGTTGTCACATTTATTGCTGTACATAATTTACACAAATACATACCAGGAAGGACTTGCACGATATGGTTTTCGACTCATGACCTGGATCTGGCATACAAACTTCAAAATTCAGTCATGAATTTTAAGAAAGGTCTTTCAGACCTGAATAAATTTGTCAGTTTGAGGATTGATGTTGACCACAAAGAAAGGATGAAAAAAAAACAAGAACACCTCATGTGTGTTGCTGTCTCCCATCCTCATGGATGTGCCAAACAGGTCAGCATAGGTTACTGTGATAAATCTGGCGCAGGTGCTAACTTGTCTGTGTATGCTTCAGTAACTTGTCCGGGTTCTAGTGGGGCTCGTGTGTTTGTGCTCGGCAGAGAAACTGTCTATCCTTGGTGTGAATAATTACATTGTGATTACATCAGTCTTGTGTATGAGTTGAGGTTGCCAGTGCAAATTAACTCTACCCAGCTTCATGTATCATAGTCTCTATTCTCTCTCTCACCCGTCTTCATACTCTTTCTCACCTTCTCTCTCTCTCTCTCTTTCTCTTTTTCCCTCTGTTTCTCTGTGTATGATGGTGTGTGTATATGTATGGATACATGTAAGTGACAATGTGTTTAAGTATGATAGCTTAAACATGGGCATGTAAAAGTCTGTATGTATGTGAGTGTTTGAATGAATGTATGTATTTCTGCGGTGTACTTTTTCCAGACTTACTGGAGTTACCTTTCACTTGAAGAGCACAAAGAGGGATTATTATGCATGGGTATAAAAATCGCCATCACTATGGGCTGTCATTCCCATACCTCCTTATAGCAAAGTATAACATTATTGTCTGGAAAGGTGCAAAGATTCCACAATATGTATTTATGTGTGTATATCTGTATCTATGTGGGGATGATTGTGGGTGCAAAATGTCATGAGCCAGGTTTTATGGAGGCCCAAATCGGGAAGGGAATGAGAATAGAGGAAGAAATGACTGCAGAAAGGGTTAAAGCTGAGGGTCTGAGAAGAAGAATACTAAATACGTATGATGGTCATGAGATCCCAAGCTCTAGCTGTGAATGAATATCTTAGCATGGGACGGTCACACTGGCCATGGGCTATGAGACCCATGCTTGCTCATAGCACAGTATAACACTTCTTCTTCTGCTCTTCCACCTTGTACATCAGTGAAGTGTCGCGGGCGGGAGGGGGGGGGGGTGTAAGGTTCATTGATGAGCTCTGTCAAGAGCACTATTAGGATTGATGTTCATTTCTGTAAGGCTGTTCTTTATGCCATCACTCCACATTTCCCGAGGTCTTCCACTCACTCTATACCTGTTGTAACATTTCAGTGTGACTTGCTGTGGTAGATAGTATCAGGGCATTCTTGTTAGGTTTTCAAACCATTTCATTTGTTGTTCTTTGATGACTTACCTGTAAAACTGCTTAACACTGTTGTCTAGAAAGTTGGAACAGTGTCAACAACTACAAAATCTGTCTGCATATACCACCCATGCTTTTGTGTGTTTTACTTGACATATACATTATGTATTTTGTTACATGCACGTAACATGCTTTACAGAAAAAATACAGTTTCTGTGTGAAAGTTAAGTGTTTTGAAGGCTGAATGTAAGTCTGGCCGGCATGCCCAATTTGTGACTTTTTGAAAATATAGTTTTTTCTCTCTCTTTCTCTCTGTCTGTCTCTGTCTGTCTGTCTCTGTCTGTCTGTCCGTCTCTTTCTCTCTCTCTCTCTCTCTCTCTCTCTCTCTATTTATTTATTTATTTATTTATTTATTTGAAAGATCCCCCAAGATCAATAGTGTAAATTGAACATTTGTTATAGTTCATTTTTTATTAACTCTTTGAGTCCCAGAGGGTTTAGCATCACAGGCCCAAGGGGTAGTCAAGAAAGACGTAAAATAGGCGCATCATGCATTCATTATAGACAGTAAACTATGAACATATGATGCATTCCTTGGAACTCAAAGAGTTAAGTGCCATGATTATCTGCGAAATACTTCCCACAATCTCTGATGAATTACCAGAATTCCTTGTGAAATACTGGCTAGCATGATTGATTTCAGTGAAATACTTGTCATAATTCCTTGTGAAACACTTGCTGCCATGATTGATTCCAGTGAAATACTTGTCATAATTCCTTGTGAAACACTTGCTGCCATGATTGATTCCAGTGAAATACTTGTCATAATTCCTTGTGAAATACTCCAAATCCTTCTGTGATAAGTGCCATCATTCCTTTTGAAAAACTGCAATGATTCTTTGTTAAGTACTTTCCGTATTTCTTTTTAAAATACTTGACATGATTCATTGTGAAATACTGTTCTTGAGTCGTTATACAATACTTTTCATGACTCCTTTTTGCACATCTGCCTTATCTCCTTTGACAGATTTGTGGACAAGCTTTTATCTGTTATTATTCACTGGCATGCCCAGTATTTTGACTTATAGAACTCTGTGTTTCTTTAAGTTTTATCGTGTGGTCACATTTCATGGAAGCCTTGATGGGATATTGTCTCCTCGTTGTGCTGACTGGTTGCTAGGGGTTTTTCATATCTAAGACATAGATGACATTCAGAATGCACATGGTTGGTGACGAGTAGACGAGATATTCTTTTATATGCTTTGTTCAACTTCCACAGTTAATCTAGTCCAGTCAGTGTCTACTATTGGCTAGCAGGTCCAACAAGAGAGGATGACATGAAGTGCAGAATCGACATCTACTACCATTCACACCTATTACCTTTCAGTCCTAATTCATTACACATGCGATACACACAATGGTTGATCCAGCATCTCTGATCATGGCTGTTCGATTCCTTGGCAGGTTGGAACTCGTCTGCTACCACCTCTGGTTAGTCTGTAATTAGGTTGTCGTCTGGCAGTCCTCTCATGGAATAGAATCTACTTCACGTCTTCCATTATACAGTGTCATATTCACTCGTCTATCAAATACGACTTTTCACGCCAGCTGCCAAATACATGCTTACTGATTAGACCTTGGTAATAACCCTCCTTCTGTGTTTCACATGCTGGTTTGAGTCCTGTTCGTTTATCTCTTGTTTCTGCGAGTATTCACATTCTCATATATTTCTCTCTTATCTCATGTTAACTCCTATATTGTTGTTTAGAAAATCCCTGTGGGAAAATACCAACATTACACTCGACATTAACTTAGTCTTAACTCTATGAGTCCCAAGGTGTTTAGTATCACAGGCCCAATGGGTAGTAATGAGAGACTAAAATCGACGCATCATGCATTCATTTGGATTCTAGGTAGGAATCTATGAACATATGATGCGTTCCCTGGGACTCAAAGAGTTAAAATGTAATGATATTTAAGCCTGGGTAGTGTATACCGCAAATTTGATTTTCAATTATAGGGCAATATACGCAGATTATGCCAAAATCAAACTCTGATTGACTGGTTTTAAAAAAAAAATTTTTTGCTTTAGCAGCATTGTTAATTGCTTGCATCATTTCATAACTTTTAAGTTTACTACATACCCACCTACCGTCACGTTTACGGCTACAGTCCCTTTGCTTGAAAAAAGTGAATCACACCAGGAATTTCACAGTGTCCATGTTTTTTTGTTCGCGGTTCGTGAACCACTGAATAAATGCAACTCTAGATTGGTGTGTAGGGAGCTAAAAGGCTACTGAATGATACAAGCAATGAATGGTGTCACTTTGGCAAATGGTTTATTGTTACCAGTCATTCAGAAATGATTTTGAAATAGCCCTCATACACTCTGCAGTTAAATGTAATCTTTTAACAGTATATACTTTAAAGTTGTTTTTATGATTTGGACAGTAGATACTGCAAAGTTGATGTTTTTCTTTGTACAGTGTATACTCCAGAGCTGATTTTTAGACATGTACTCCAAAGTTGATGCTAACGTTAGGCTAATATATATACTCAAAAATTGATGTTAGTCTTTGGACAATATATATAATCTTATGTTCATGCTGACTCAAACATCAAAACCCATATTTTATGACATAGTAGCAAGTTGGCATTTGTGGTTTAGGCATTGTGAACATGCTTCATAATGTCAGCTGATCCCTGCTGCGGACGTTTTGTCATGCGTTGGGTTTGACACTGGTACCAAGAGCTGACCCTTCAGAAAGCAGTGGCAAACTACTGAACATAAAATTTGCCTAGAAAAAAACCACACCAGCCAGTAAATGCTAGTGTTGGGTCTGCAAGGTCCTGTAAAGGATACGCAACTAACTTTTTAACAGGCTCCATAAGAAAACATGTATAACTGTATTACTGATCAGAATTTTAGTGGCATCTCTTTATTTGTAGGCATCTCATGTCAGACGTATGTCAAGTGGATACTGACATGTAAAAATGTTGAAAAGAGGTCTTAGTTATGTAAAAATAGATTGTTTATTTTCAGTTTATCTTTATCAAAATGACATTTTAATTATTGAAGAATACGGATATATAATCTGATTAAATAAAAGAGTGGATAATTTAGAGGTTTGTTTCTTTCTGGTTTTTTTTCCTAATTCATCATTCTTGTAAGAACAGTTAAGAAGCTGAAGAGAATGGTCAGTGTCCCAGACTGTGTTGCTATGGCAGCATCACTATCATTTTCTCCTTGGACCTTTGCAGGTTTTATAGTTGGTGTCTTCTCTGTGTATGATGGTGTCTTTTCTGTGCTAGATGTTTGCATCTCCATGTGTGGTGATGTCTTGTCCATGCTTATCTGCGTACTTTCAGATGGTTTTGATGTTGCTGGATTCAGAGCTAAGTACACTTCCGTTTTGCAGGAATATAAACGACTTAAAAATTCTCTGCCAATGTCACTGCCCAGAGCCAGATCATTCTGTGGCAAGAAAACAAAATATTTGGTCACTGATTTGGTAAGTTAAGAACACTGTACTGTTAAGCACAGTACCCGCAAATTATTTCATAGAACAACAAATAATTAAAAGCTTTGATCATCTGATCAGAGTGGAACAAAATGAGCCACCAGTTAAAATGCACTACAGGTAGGTAGGTAGGTAGGTAGTTGTACCCCACCAGGACATCACACAAGCAAAAACATACCCGGTGACACGAAGTGCCACCTTGTGGATGAGGATCACCAGTGTAGAGGTCACAGAAAGTCCTTTCAGCCATATCTATGCCCCGGCTATATTCAGGACCCCCGGCAGAAGCCAGGGTGAGGCTTCAAATAAAATATTGCATTCCACTTGGGACGACTATGCAATTAAAAAAACAAATATATATATATATAAATGAGAACAGCAGGTTACAAGTCAAAAGGCTGATCAACAAAGCGAGAGTTGGATGGAGTAAAAGAGACATTACAGAAACGCAATATCACATTACCCCACAAATTACATAACGACAGGAAAGTATATCTAACTCCTCTCTCTGACGGTTTGTGGCAGTAGAACAAAAGAAAGAAAGAAAGACAATTCGTTAAGTCGTCTCATTAGAGAAGATTGAATTCTTAAATTGTTTCCCTTTAGTGTTGGGAATTATTTCCCATTTGTTTAAAAATGTCCTCCCCTTGGTTCATAAATTTCCTGGGATGGTGGTGGTTTTCACTGCTTCCCCTCTAGGATTGTCGTCCCTAGGATTTACACCTCAGGGATGAGAATCAAACAGGAGCAACTTCCAGGACCCGTGTTCAGCTGTATACCACATATTTTTGGATTAGAGGGGACCATAACAGACATGTCTATCATTAGATAATCTCTCCTAAACTCTCTGACTGTCTCTGTGTCTCTCTCTTTGTCTTTCTCTTTGTCTCTCTCTCTCTCTGTGTTTCTCTCTCTCTCTCTCTCTCTCTCTCTCTCTCACACACACACACACACACACACAAAACAGACATGAGCTCAATTTCTCCCACACTCACACACACGCACATTAAATTACAAAAACGAACGTTCTCTTTCACATTTACACACTCTCTTCCACATGCAAACATGCACGCGCACTTTCTCTCACATACACACACATACTCACCCAAAACGCTCCCTCACAAATTCCTACACTCATTATCATATCACAGTAAGCCACTCCTAACACAAACCTCTACTTCTGTTTCCCTCTCTACAACCGCCCCCAAACCCACTCCACAATTGCTCTCCCCTGGAATAACTTCCAGAAATTGTCTACTCCTGCTGCCATCATGTCGACAATACAAACTAGTAACAACTTCCTACGAGGTGTCATACCCATAACTTGCATGACAGTAAACTAAAACATCTCCCAAGCGAGCCCTTCTCTGTGTCCACTCACCTGAATATACTGCCAAACATTTCCCTGCATACACTTCTCCGTCCTCATGTATCTGACTATTGTCTCCACACACTCGTCGATACAAGGGAAGAATTGCCTGCAGTTATTGGACACGTCCCGGTATACGTCGGTGGTGTTGAGGGTTCGCAGAATGGCTCCAAACTTGGTGCAGCCCTGCATGCTGGCTGGGTCGCACATACTGTGGAAGAGGATCAGCGGATACTAAAGAAACTCAAGTATAACAGATTAGTTACCATAGTGAGTCACGTGACTGTCGTGAACTTCCGGCTGTTAGACCTACAGTATATCAAGAGAGACCATTAGTAATCTTATTCTTCTTCGCGTTCAACGGTGAACTCTGGAGGAAAGTTTGAGTTCTTCGTCCACTTCTGGACTGCAGTTCTGTTTCAGAATCTGGGTGTTGCGTGTGCATCCGTTTGACAGATCTGACGCATTTGCGTGCAGAATATTGGTTCATTGCCTCTCAGACACACTCCGACTTCGAAGGAAGCTCCAAATTAGTCGACTCTTACGACACGCTTTTAGGTAGGCAGTGGGTCTATTCTTGTTTTGCCTATAATAGGGTCCCGGAACCCACACGGGACATTTTTAATTCAGTGGAGTGTTTACAGTTGTTGTGCTTTGTTACATGTGGATGTAATTCTGTATTAGTGCACCTGACCAAACAGCGAATTATACCTGGCAATAAATCTCTAAATACAACAAGTTTAATGTTGAATGTTGAATAAAGAATCGACATCACAGCATTCAGGACACCCCCATAAGCTCTCCGTCCCCATATTCAGCATCAAGCGAAGAGTTTATATTTTGACGGTACCAGTAACTGTCTGATTGTATATATCCGTCTCTCCTTTTCCATGTATTTGCAACAATACGAAAGAGACAAACACTATTCTTTGGTCACGTAATGAGAAGAGAGACATTGGAGAACATCGTGACAGCTGAAAAGAATAGTGGAAAAAGGGTAGAGGTAGACCAAGAGAGAAGATGCTGGATGGGCTGAAACGATGGAAGGGAGGGATATCATCAAGCCAGAGAGCTGTTCCGGGCAACCAGGAATCGTGATCTGTGGAGACGTATAAGCGCCGTCACCAGTTGGCAAGGCACATGATGATGACGACGAACAAATTATGCAATGTATTATTTGTGTCTGTGTTTAAAGTAGAAACATCTCCCCGTGTGGGTTCCGGGGCCCTATTATAGGGAAAACAAGAATAGACCCACTGCCTACCCAAAAGCATGTCGTAAAAGTCGACTAATTGGGAGCTTCCTTCGAAGTCGGAGTGCATCTGCTTGAGAGGCAAGTAACCAGCAATCTGCATACAAATGATCTGTCAGGTCTGTAAAACGGGTGCACACGCAACACTCAGGTTCTGGAAAAAGACTGCATTTTAGAAGTGGATGAACAAACTTTCCGCTAGAGTTTACAGCTGGTGAACAAGAAGAAGAAGAAGAAGGAAGTAGAAACATTAAAGTCGACAGGATCGACTCTGTTGCACTGGGTTTATCTAATATGTCTCGATCTATCTCCGATATCTGGCTTCCCAGGATGTCACAGAAAGCACGAACAGTGTAGCTCCAGCAATGATCCCAAGGGATCTCCGCAGAGATTGCAGTCGTGAACTAAACGATGCAGCCGTGAAACGAACCCACGACTTTCAGATTACGTGGCAAACGGCTTGACCATTTGGACAAGAGCCCTAGAACAACAGTTATGAATTACTAGATTGAGTGTCATCTTCGTAAGGATGGTTGGCCATATTGGTTTTCACCACTGTATGTCTCGTACTTTGATCGCTCATCACCTGACGCTGTCTTCCCAGTTGCATCTCTGATTTGACCTCACAACATTGGGCACACAGTCGGGCGTCTAGCTACGGTTTAACACAACAACTTCAGCCTGTGTTATTCTAACGTTGAATAGAATTTTTGCGTTTGAATCTCTTAAGACATATTCTGGGTTATCTTTTTGTGAAATTTCGTAATAAATTTTACGTTTTTAGCATTAGAATAGGGTTTTAAATGTTTATCTCCGGGTGATCACAGAACACTAGAAGTTACACAATACCTGTCAAGCACACACAGAACGAGTCCTGACGGTTGAATTTACATATCTATACCGTTTGGAATCTGGTCCAACGGACACACATTGCATAACAAGCTGTGGGAAACCGGCGGTGACCTTAAATAAACTGTCAGACTAATGTTAAGCGAGTCTGATGTCGAACGGATATGAATGGGGAGGAGTAGGAGGAGGAGGAGGAGAAGAAGAAGAAGAAAAAGAAGAAAAAGAAGAAGAATAAGAAGAAGAAGAAGAAGAAGAAGAAGAAGAAGAAGAAGAAGAAGAAGAAGAAGAAGAAGAAGAAGAAGAAGAAGAAGAAGAAGAAGAAGAAGAAGAAGAAGAAGAAGAAAAAAAAAGAAGAAGAAGAAAATGATATTGATACAGATGATGATGAAGATGATGCTGCTGCTGATGATGATGAAGGAGGGGTGGAGGAGGTTGGAGGATAAGAAGAAGGATAAGAAAGAGGATGATGATAATTTACCTGACACCCATGTGGTCCACACAGAAGGAGTCCCGCAAGTTCTCCCTGGGGTAGTAGGTGAGGAACCCGAAGCACATTTCTTCTTGTGTAGCTTCTCCCCAGAAAGTGGTCTTCTGCCGGTTCATGGTCTGGTAGCCACAGTTGCTGATCAGAGAATCTCCGGGGTAGATCTCTAGTCCATCTTGGCTGTAAGCAGTTTTAGAATTCTCAATAGAAAGAAGCATTTTACAGCATGCTAAAAGAATAGTTTACTTCAATCATCATCATCATCATCATCAACTCTCTTTATGCCTAGTCGAACATGAGGCTTCAGAGAGGACTTTCCATGCTTTCCTGTCCAGTGCAATCTCTAGTGCAGTTTTCCATGTCAGAGATGCAGCACTCTGGTCACTTTCCATCGTTCGTCTCCGTGTTGTTTTTGGGCGCCCCTTTTTTTCCTTTTTCCCTCTGGTGTCCATGTGATAGCTGTTTTTGGCAGGTATATCAGGATTCATTCTCATAACGTGGCCAAGCAATTTCCATCTTCTCTTGCTTATCATACTGTTTAAAGTTTCTTGGTTTGTCACTTGAAGTAGTTTATTGTTTGGCCAGAAAATTGTGATAATTCAACGTAGACATGTGTGGTAAAAGGTGGACAGCTTGTGTGCATCCTTCAGCATTTTTGCTCGATAAAGAAGAAAAGGCAAAATGATGCTCTTGTAGGGTGGAGTTTCGTGCTTTTGCAGTAACAGTTTACAGACATGTAAAAATGGAATGGAGGAGCAGACAAACTAACATCAGTAGAGATATTATTCGTTTTATTCGCGTTCACCTGATGTAAAATCTGTCGAAAAAATCTGGGTGTTCGTCCATCTCTGCACTTTAGTCTTGTTTCAGAATCTGAGTTAATTTTTTGTACATACGTTTCACAGATCACGCTTATTTGTATGCAGACTCTTGGTTCCTTGCCTCTCAGGCAGATGTACTCCGGTTTTGAAGGATGTCCCCAACTAGTTGACACCTACGACATGCTTGTTGGGAAGGCAGGGGAAACTATTCTTGTTTTCTGCCACAATGGGAATCTAGAACCCGCACGGGGAAATAGAGACAGTCAAAAAGACAGACCGACAGTAAAATATGCCAAAGGAAAAGGGTACAGTCATACAGAAATTTAAAGGAAGGAGAGGACCAAAAACACATCATTAGAAATTTACAGATGGATAGACAGACCAAGGAGTAGACAGACGGGGAAACAGACAGTCAGATTCATCGATAAACATTTATGCAGGTAGGTAGATTTATCAGTGATATGGTAATCTGCTTGATGAGTGAGTAAATCAGTCTATTGAGATATCGCAGCAGACAGACAAAAAGGTCTCTTATCAGCAAAAGAAGAGAATAATCGAATCAATCAAAAAGCCAACGAAGCAAGTAAAAGGTTATTACCATTTTATGGACAGGGCAGAGCAAGTTATTATTCTACGCCTTAGAACAGGGCACAATCGACTTCGCAGCCACTTGTACACAAAATGTAAAATTGGCGAATCAGCCATGTGCACATGTAGATTGGCACCTGAGACAACAGATCATGTCCTCCATACTGTCCCAAATACAAAATATCAAGGCAAAACTTTTGGCCAAGAGAAACATCGGTGCAAGTCAAACTTTTTCGCTAAGTGAATTACAAAAGACAGGGAAGTCCATGCTAGAGACAACATTGCAGATATAGATAATTTATTTCAAGACAGGCAGATGGGTAGGTTATTAAGCTGGTGGATAAGTTGGTTAGGAAGAAGTATTTACAGACAGACAGGAGTGCAGGCAAACGGCATTGCCCAGTGTGTAAACTGGCTGTTAAAAGGGGAACACAAAAAAAAGAAACAAAACCATTCATGAAATATCCACACAAAAAGCAAACACGTCAAACTAATATTTTGTTGAAAGAGGTGGTAAATTTGAAAACTTACAAAAAATGAACTTGCGGGCTGTCATAACTGTAAACTCTCTCAAATTTGAAAACCTACAATAACTGAACTTAAGGGCTGTCATAACTGTAAACTCTCTCAAATGTGAAAACTTAAAATAACTGAACTTGAGGGCTATCATAACTGTAAACTCTCTCAAATTTGAAAACTTACAATAACTGAACTTAAGGGCTGTCATAACTGTAAACTCTCTCAAATTTTAAAACTTACAATATCTTAACTTGCGGGCTGACGTAACTGTAAACTCTCTCAAATTTTAAAACTTAAAATAACTGAACTTGCGGGCTGTCATAACTGTAAACTCTCTCAAATTTGAAAACTTAAAATATCTGAACGTGCGGGCTGTCATAACTGTAAACTCTCTCAAATTTGAAAACCTACAATATCTGAACTTAAAGGCTGTCATAACTGTAAACTCTCTCAAATTTGAAAACTTACAATAACTGAACCTAAGGGCTGTCATAACTGTAAACTCTCTCAAATTTGAAAACAAAAAATAACTGAACTTCCGGGCTATCATAACTGTAAACTCTCTCAAATTTTAAAACTTACAATAACTGAACTTCCGGGCTATCATAACTGTAAACTCTCTCAAATTTGAAAACTTACAACGACTGAACTTGTGGGCTGTCATAACTGTAAACTCTCTCAAATTTGAAAACTTAACATAACAGAACTTGTGGGCTGTCATAACTGTAAACTCTCAAATTTGAAAACTTACAATATCTGAACTTGCGGGCTGTCATAACTGTAAACTCTCTCATCGGTTAAATATCTCACAGAACTGTCGTTTCGCATCAACTGAATATCCATTCTGTTTCCTGAAATATAATGGATCGATACAAGTGCAATATCCTGTCATTATTCAGTCAGTAAATCAACTTTCTTAATCAAATAATAGGCAAACAGTTAATTATTCAGCCAGCCAGTGAGCAAACGATGTATCATTAAGATAACCGATGAGCACAAATGGCATCATTTAGCCAAGACATCCGTGAACAGTTGATGATTTTGGCAACTCATGAATAGAAGGTTTATTGTTTAGTCAACCATTGATCAGACATTTCTTGTTTCGCCTAGCAGATGAGTACACAGTTGATAATTTATTAAACTTACGAGCAGAGAATTTATCATATACGCAAGCAATGAGCAAACAACACAGCATTGGTTCAAGCAATGAGCAAATAACTTAGCATTTGTTCAATCAATGAGAAAATAACTCAGTATTCATTCTACCAATGAGCAAAAAATTCAGCATTTCTTCAACCAATGAGCAAACAGCTCAGAATTCGTTCAACCAATGAGAGAACAATTTAGCATTTGCTCAGCCAATTAGCAAACAACTCATCATTTACAGAAACAGTGAGAATCGTTCTGTTACTTACTTCGCGAGAGGCTCAAATTGTTGATTAATTAATTAAATGTAGCTCTATATTTTAGTCTGTATATTTGTCTGTCTATTTTCCGTCTGTCTCTATCTGTCTGTTTGTCTTATGTCTGTCTGTTTGCCTGCCTTATATATTTCTATATATTCACCTGCGTAATGCATATGATTCCAGGCTGACGTCACGATAATTGACCCTTTAATACTACTATTGGTGCAGGCCCCGGAGCAGTGCCCTTGAATCCGTATCTCTGGTCGTCTGGGAGGGAGGTTGAAGTAGGCGGAGCCAACCATAAGCACACCGGCGTTATACCTCCTCCTATTGGATACAGAACGTTATTCTGAGATATGTTGATGAAAGTTTGTGATTATACATTATGAAAATTGTTACTCTTGAATAGAACAGTGGGAACAATATGCAATCGATCGTGTTGCGCGGAAAAGGAAAATCAGGAAGGAAATGGGAATAAAATAAAAATTTGATTGCAGAAATCTTGAGAGGTGAACGTCCAAGAAAGACACTAGATACATGTAATGGCAACACAGATCCTAAAGTCCCTTGCTCTATTTATTGAAGACATTTCTTAACATTTACTTGTCTTGCTAGTCACACTCGCCATCGCCATGGGCTGTGATGTCCTTTCATCCCCCTAGCATAATATAATACTATCGTCTGGAACAGCCAACAGTCTTTTCTCCGACTAGTCCAAAATGTAGCGGGTTTGCCCTTTCGTAGTTCAGCACAGAGGAGATGATAATAAATTGCTTCCATTGATTATATAGGGTTAAATAATAATAACAAAGAGAAGGTAAATGAAAAATGGACAAAGTTTGAAGCAATTGCAACAATTTAAGTACTTGAGGGGCCATTGTTAGATACAAGTAAATACAAGACAGAGGGACAGAAACCAAAAACGCAATAAGCCAGCAGGGTCACTTAGCCTTTCCCAGTCTTGCAACACCCGCTATTCAAAGAAAAGATAAAAAGATACATTATAAATGGAATGTAAACTCCAACTTTAGGTTGCCAGTGTCAGACCCGGACAACAGCCAGAGAACAGGGGAGAAAACGAACCGCTTGTGAAATGAGATGTTGGAGAAAGGCTGCAGACACAATCAGAAACGTGAGAAACGAAGAGCTTAGATGAACTGTTTGTAAGAAACAAAAATTGCATTAGTTAAATTCAGAAACAAAGACTGAAATATTTCGGCCACCTGGTGAGAATTAATAAAAACAACGTTGGGAGGGAGACTGTAATACAGTAGATGGAAATAGAAACACCAAGATATAGACGGAAATGTAGAAGAAAGTGGATTGAAGGAGTCATGGACAGACCATTACTTCACATAATCACAAACACACCATTCAACCGAGAGCTCCTAGCTCAGCTATCTTATTTTAAACTACGTAGCCTGATAGCACAAAGAAGGTCTTAGACATCAGGGAAGAAAGACATAAGTTGTGTCAGGAAAATCGGTCATTCGACACAATGTAAACAGCTTGCTGGGATGTCCTGGGCAGAAATGAGATGGACGGGAATAGGTGAAACCACAACAGACGAGGGACATAAGATTTGGTACATCGAAGAAGATAACAAACACCAGCACTTTATGCATCTCAAAAAGAAGATGTCAATTGCAGTAAGAGTTAAAGAGAATTAAAGTTCTGTAGAACCCGAGTTGTTATATGCACGTGAAACAGGGATAATAAGCAGAAAACCTAACAAACATTTACTCTCGCCAGAGATGTGGTTTTTGAGAAGAATGTAAAGAATATCATAGGCGGATATTTAAAAAAAAACAAATCTTCGTTAAGACAAAGGACAAACTAAATCTGGTGGCGACTGTTAGCTTTGGCACCTCTAGCAACTGCCATACGCATTTACTGCGTGCGCATATTTCTGTATTGTTCCGGGAGTAATTATTGTGGAGATGCATGAAAGCCTACACCAGCAGACAAGGTACTTAATGATGATGATGATGATGGTGATAATGAGGATATTAACGCCGTCCCAAAACAGGAGGACATTTTTGTTTTGTTTTATTTTAAAGCCTCACCCTGGCTGTAGTCCGAAACCTTAATATAACCTCACGGTTAAACAGGGTTTCTGAAAAATATTTATCCCAGTGGTGGCACTTTATGTCACCGGGTGTTTAACCCTCGTTCTGCGGTCCATGTGGGGGATGAATCTCACTCAGGGAAGCTGTGATGATTATTAGCTGAGGAGAGACTACTTACAAATTGGGCGTGTAGTAGATCTGTAATCCGGATGTGTCGATGTAGTCAGATCTTTTGTCCGGGTTGTTCCAATGTAACTATAGCAAAGAGAAAACAACGGGACATTACTGAAGACACATGGGTTTTTGCAGTGTAACTAGAAGTGAACTAAAGGACCCTTGTCCCCATCTTCAGGAGTAAAGGACATAGAGGGCTACTGTAATTAGAACAAACATGAAACAAGGGGACATGAACTAAATATATCTGGGTTTTTCCAGTGTAACTAGAACAAACATGAAACAAGGGAACATGAACAGAAGATATCTGGGTTGTTCCAGTGTAACTAGAACAAACATGAAACAAGGGAACATGAACAGAAGATATCTGGGTTGTTCCAGTGTAACTAGAACAAACATGAAACAAGGGAACATGAACAGAAGATATCTGGGTTGTTCCAGTGTAACTAGAACAAAGAAAAACTGAGGGGACAAAAGCAGTAGCAGACTACAAGAAGGTTGGACTCATGTGTACAGTAGCAGACTAAAAGAAGGTTGGACTCATGTGTACAGTAGCAGACTAAAAGAAGGTTGGACTCATGTGTACAGTAGCAGACTAAAAGAAGGTTGGACTCATGTGTACAGTAGCAGACTAAAAGAAGGTTGGACTCATGTGTACAGTAGGAGACTAATAGAAGGTTGGACTCATGTGTACAGTAGCAGACTAATAGAAGGTTGGACTCATGTGTACAGTAGCAGACTAAAAGAAGGTTGGACTCATGTGTACAGTAGGAGACTAAAAGAAGGTTGGACTCATGTGTACAGTAGGAGACTAATAGAAGGTTGGACTCACATGTACAGTAGCAGACTAATAGAAGGTTGGACTCATGTGTACAGTAGCAGACTAATAGAAGGTTGGACTCATGTGTACAGTAGCAGACTAAAAGAAGGTTGGACTCATGTGTACAGTAGGAGACTAAAAGAAGGTTGGACTCATGTGTACAGTAGGAGACTAATAGAAGGTTGGACTCACATGTACAGTAGCAGACTAAAAGAAGGTTGGACTCATGTGTACAGTAGGAGACTAAGAAAAGGTTGGACTCACATGTACAGTAGGAGACTACAAGAAGGTTGGACTCATGTGTACAGTAGGAGACTAAGAAAAGGTTGGACTCACATGTACAGTAGGAGACTACAAGAAGGTTGGACTCATGTGTACAGTAGGAGACTAAGAAAAGGTTGGACTCACATGTACAGTAGGAGACTACAAGAAGGTTGGACTCATGTGTACAGTAGGAGACTAAGAAAAGGTTGGACTCACATGTACAGTAGGAGACTACAAGAAGGTTGGACTCACGTTTACAGTAGGAGACTACAAGAAGGTTGGATCACATGTACAGTAGGAGACTAATAGAAGGTTGGACTCACGTGTACAGTAGAAGACTAAGAAAAGGTTGGACTCACATGTACAGTAGAAGACTAAGAGAAGATTGGACTAACATGTACAGTAGAAGACTAATAGAAGATTGGACTAACATGTACAGTAGAAGACTAATAGAAGATTGGACTAACATGTACAGTAGAAGAATAATAGAAGATTGGACTAACATGTACAGTAGAAGACTAATAGAAGATTGGACTAACATGTACAGTAGAAGAATAATAGAAGGTTGGACTCACATGTACAGTAGGAGACTAAGAAAAGGTTGGACTCACATGTACAGTAGGAGACTACAAGAAGGTTGGACTCATGTGTACAGTAGGAGACTAAGAAAAGGTTGGACTCACATGTACAGTAGGAGACTACAAGAAGGTTGGACTCATGTGTACAGTAGGAGACTAAGAAAAGGTTGGACTCACATGTACAGTAGGAGACTACAAGAAGGTTGGACTCACGTTTACAGTAGGAGACTACAAGAAGGTTGGATCACATGTACAGTAGGAGACTAATAGAAGGTTGGACTCACGTGTACAGTAGAAGACTAAGAAAAGGTTGGACTCACATGTACAGTAGAAGACTAAGAGAAGATTGGACTAACATGTACAGTAGAAGACTAATAGAAGATTGGACTAACATGTACAGTAGAAGACTAATAGAAGATTGGACTAACATGTACAGTAGAAGACTAAGAGAAGATTGGACTAACATGTACAGTAGAAGACTAAGAGAAGATTGGACTAACATGTACAGTAGAAGAATAATAGAAGGTTGGACTCACATGTACAGTAGAAGACTAAGAGAAGGTTGGACTCACGTGTACAGTAGGAGACTAATAGAAGGTTGGACTCACGTGTACAGTAGGAGACTAAGAGAAGGTTGGACTCACATGTACAGTAGGAGACTAAGAGAAGGTTGGACTCACATGTACAGTAGAAGACTAAGAGAAGGTTGGACTCACATGTACAGTAGAAGACTAAGAGAAGGTTGGACTCACAAGTACAGTAGGAGACTGAGAGAAGCTCTAAGAAGTTGCCACTCACCTGTATAGCGACAGTCTTGTATCCAGTCTTGCCAATCTTGATGCCTGCCTGCGGGTGGTAGCACTCGCCATCCAGACCCACAGTCCACACGTGCAGGAACTCATGACAGCTGGGCGAGGCAGTCATTCCGCACTCGAAGGATTCTCCCGTGATGACTGTATCATCTGTGAAGGAAGCATTTAGGCCAGGTGTTAGTTAGCTTTTTAGTTGTCCTGGCTGCAGTTAGTTAGATAGGTAGTTAGTTACGTAGTTAGCTAGTTGGTTAGTTAGTTAATTAGTTACTTAGTTAGATAGCTAGTTAGCTAGTTAGTTAATTATTTAGTTAGTAAGTTAGTTAGTTAGCTAGTTAGTTAGCTAGTTAGTTAGCTAGTTAGTTAGTTAGTTAGTTAGTTAGTTACTAGTTAGCTAGCTAGTTAGTTAGTTAGTTAGTTAGTTAGTTAGTTAGTTAGTTAGGTAGTTAGTTAGTTAGTTAGTTAGTTAGTTAGTTAGTTAGTTAGTTAGTTAGTTAGTTAGTTAGTTAGTTAGTTAGTTAGTTAGTTAGTTAGTTAGTTAGTTAGTTAATTAGTTAATTAATTAGTTAGTTAGTTAATTAGTTAGTTAGTTAGTAAATTAGTTAGTTAGTTAGTTAGCTAGCTAGCTAGCTAGTTAGTTAGCTAGCTAGTTAGTTAGTTAGTTAGTTAGTTAGTTAGTTAGTTAGTTAGTTAGTTAGTTAGTTAGTTAGTTAGTTAGTTAGTTAGTTAGTTAGTTAGTTAGTTAGTTAGTTAGTTAGTTAGTTAGTTAGTTAGTTAGTTAGTTAGTTAGTTAGTGACTTAATATCCTCATCATACATTGGGCAAGTACAAAAGCTCGCAGTTCCTATCTTCAGAATCTGCCTTACCTTGTGGTGACTGATAACATTAGTTCTGTGTGTGTGTGTGTGTGTGTGTGTGTGTGTGTGTGTGTGTGTGTGTGTGTGTGTGTGTGTGTGTGTGTGTGTTTAACTATTCTTCTATGGCTAGGGTTCATGTCTGACAATACCTCTTTTTTCCTATAGTTATGTCTTTTCAATGCTGCCTATTCACTGTCGTCTCCTGAAACATCTGTTCTTCCTTCCGTCCTGAGAGCACTGAAACATCGGCCGTCCATTGCTTTTTCGGTGCCTATCGCGGCCCCCACCAGCAGTCCAATCCGCATGTTTATTCCCTCATACTCTAAAGTATTAAAAAAAAAACTGATTCCTGACAGAGGAGAATTCTGCAGATTCCAACCACTGCTTCTGAACCCATCCAGATGGAGACATACCTAACGTAAATGTGAGCTCTTTTTGGGTGTCATGCTGTCATTAGAAATTGTTAATTGCAGCATCACAATCATTACTGTCCTCAGCATTATCATCCACAACTACATTATAGTTGTCGTTGCCACATTATCATCAGCAGTGTACTATCAGCATCAACATCAACGCTATCATCGCTATATTATCATGATAATCTCCATACTATCAATATCATCACAGTTGTCATTATGCTCAAATCATCGCTGTCAACAGCAACAGCAAACAATCATCATCAACCACAAAGCCATTATCATCATCATCATTACTATACCAGCAGTATGATCAGTTTTTATTATCATCAAACTAACGGCATCATCATCATCGAGATCATCACCAAACTGTTGGAAGTGTCTTTACCTGTACAGTCACACGGAAGAATGCACATCTGCACAAACGCACATAAAAGATACGTATGCACATTTTTGACAACAAACGAACTTTTTTTTTACGGGGGTCACAAATTAGGCATACAGACAGATATAACATTCGGCCCTTCCAAACACTAATTATTCCTACTCAAATTGTATTGTATCTTTAGATTTATACACACCAATACGACAGGTAAAATTATTCACACCGGTACAGCCAAACACCACAGGTACAACTGAACTCACCTGTACAACCAAACACCACAGGTACAACTGAACTCTTCGGTACAGCCAAACACCACAGGTACAACTGAACTCACCTGTACAACCAAACACCACAGGTACACAATGAACTCACCTGTACAACCAAACACCAATGGTACATAATGAACTCACCGGTACAAGCAAACACCACAGGTACACAATGAAGTCACCGGTACAGCCAAACACCACAGGTACACAATACACTCACTTGTACAACCAAACACCACCGGTACACTATGATTCCCCTGTACAACCAAACACCACAGGTACACAATGAACTCACCTGTACAACCAAACACCACAGGTACACAATGAACTCACCAGTACAGCCAAACACCACAGGTACAACTGAACTCACCTGTACAACCAAAGACGACAGCGTGGTGAACGACGTTGGTGTTGTTGACAATCGGAGTCGCGGCCACGATGTGGAAATCCTGGTCCTTGGGCACGCCCTGATCGTAGATGTTGAACACCATACATTGGTAGGTAGTCTCTTTGGGAGGGACCTTGCTTCCCTCGGGGAGGCGCAGCTGCATGCTCCGGACCCCTGCGTGGAAGTGTCAGAAGGGGAGTAAGTCACTCAAGTCAGTCAAGTCAGTCAGTAGCATGTCCTTTGCAGAACCTTGCTCCCACAACAACCCTCCTGAAAACTTCTCTATCACAAGCAAGATGACCCACGTCTGATACACCCATCTGGAGATCATCCACCACATCCTACACCCATCTTCTCTTTGGCCTTCCTCTTCCTCTTTTCCTAGGCATACACCCCTCTATTATTGTTATCTCTAAACTTTTGTGACGTTTCAAGTGACCAAAATATTTCAATTTTCGGCATTGTATCGTCTTTTATAACCAGCCCCAGTAGCGGACAACGATGCTGAATGCACACACAAAAAAGCTAGGAAAAAAAAAAACTCGTTTGGCATGAAGAACCCACGGCAAAGCACACGCAAGCCAGTTCAGTAGAAATAGAAAGATTATGTATCTTTCCCCTGGCATCTTATGGATGTGAGTTATGTACTTGTTGTTAATCGGTGAAGAAGAAAAATTCATAGCTTTTGAAGGGAAATGTTACAGATCATTTCTTAGAATACCAGGAATCAAGAAGAAGAAGAAAAACATCAACGATGGTAAATGCTGACCTGTTTCGTTCATAGCAGGACAATCGAGCCCATCCGTCTTGCACATCGCAGCCAGCCACTCCTGCTGGTTGGCGTACCTGGAGCCGTTCAGGACCATCTTCATACATTTGGGGCTGTCCCAGGGGTCGCAGATCCCTGCAGAATACAATACAGAGTTTAATTAGAATACAATATCTTGTTAGGGGGTAACGGCGTCATATCTGCACACACATCGTCTTGTTTATGGTCATCATCATCATCATCTTCTTCTTCTTCTTCCCGTGACACTTTGTTGTTGGGTCACTAGTCACTGTTGACTGTCTGTTCAAATCCCTCCAGATGGACAGGGCCGTTCAGTCAGTCAAGTTCTGTATTCAGGTCTTTATTTGTATACCTCTTCTCTCATTCCTCTCTACTAAGCAACATAGGGTGTTTTTTTTAAGGGGTTAAAAAAAAAAAGTAAAGAGGCTTTTCACGCCTTTCGGCGAATCGGGCATATGGGCAGAGCGTCCCATATTTTTACAGACCATCAGCACTCTGTGGGTAATGTGGTCAGCATTACGCCGGCTGTCTTTACTTTCCCAGGACTTTTAAGGGGTAGCTAGATCTTATTACATGTCTGTACTTTTCATTTTCCGCCTTATCTCGCTGCAGTTAAAAGAGGTTCATAGTTGCCAGTGTGCTGAATAAATTATACGGTGCAGCTCGTCGCTTGTGATGTGGTCTCTGATGTGGTAGGCAGCATTTTACTGAAAGATCACATTTCCAACGCCTGTATCTTCTTTTCGAGTTTAGCTGTTAATGTCCACGTTTCATAGCCATTTGTAAACATACTAATAGCTATTGCTATCAAGTAAAAAAGCAAAGATCCCTTTTCACGCCTTTTAGGCGCATCGGGCATATGGGAAGAGCACCCATATTTTTACAAACGCTTCGGCACCAGGTGGGTGATGTGGTCAGCATTACACAGGCCGTCTTTACTTCCCCAGGACATACATCCTGGTACCCATTTTATGCTGGGTCAGCCTGCTACGCCCCATACCACGAAAAAAAATCAACTAATGCTATTAGCTTAGTTTTAAAAGCCATGTTTTTGGACCTCTGTAATATTTGCTGTTTGACAAGGGCTGATCTTGTTTGAAGTATTTGAAATGGTTGACATGTTCTAATTTGTGACCTTTGAACATGCACTGGTGTAGTTAAACCTGTTAGATGATTCGTCATCACTTGAAGTGTTTTCCGAGTTTTTTGTCCATGCCGTACTTGGTCGATGTTTCATCAAGCAGGTTCACACGTTCGACTTGCTCTTGTTCTTCCGCGGCCAACCCGTCGATGTCATCTATAAACTTGTAGTTTGTTACGATTCGTTTTCCTATACTAACTGTTGCGTGATGTTTTTCTTGGTCGACAAACTTGCACGCACATGATCTTTTTGATGATAGGGGCACCATGCTTGCACACACACATTATCCTGTTGATGACGGGGTGCCATGCCTGCGAACACATAATGATGACAAAGATGACTTTGACGATGATGAAAATGACGTTACTGGCGATGATGACGACGGTGATAATTATTGTAATGATTATGATGGTGATGATGATGTTGACCTTTTTTTCAAGGCCCGAAAAGTATGAATTGAAAGCTGGTCAGCATGTACAAACGATGTGACCACAGTACCTGGATGGCTGATCCCCGTGGTTCTCGCGGGAAGTCCACTGCCCGGCGTCCACAGACACTTGGGGTCACCCAGCTCCTCCCCGTTGGTCAGCCCATCTCCATCGGAATCAAGGCGGCACACCCTTTCTGTCCATACCTATATATGGCATTGATAGACATCGAGATTAAACAGGATTTCCCCATATGGGTTTGGGGATCCTTATGTGGTCTGGGGAGTGGGGTGGTGATAGACCCAAATACACAATGTCCAAAAAGTCGACTAATTGGGCGTGTTTCCTTCAAAGTCGGAGTGCATCTGCTTGTGAGGCTAGGATTCAACAGCCTGTATAAACATAAGTCAGATCTGTAAAACTGATGTGCACACAAAACTCAGGTTCAGGAAGATGACCAAAGTCAAAAAGTGGAGGAACACAAGAACTTTTCGTCGGAGTTTACCGCCTGGCAGGGCGAAGAAGAGGAATAAAAAACATCATTAACAGTCTCTGGATACAGCTTGTAAGTAAAATCAGCCCAGAAGAGAGAACCTAGTTTTTAGAGAGGACGTCATTTGCTTGCCTCTGGGCACGTAGTTGATAAGTATTGTGCCTTCAGAATTTTTGAACAGTCACATTGAAAATGCGTTTACTAAAACTAGCCGGGTTGTATCAATAAATGTGAGCTCTTGCGTTTTAAGTAAACAAAAAGATCAGGTGATAAACTAGAAGTTAACGTAGTAATCTCAGGACAAATCTTGAATTTTCGGTGGAGAAATGTACAGCAAATTTGACAACAACAAAATGTGATGTTGTATTTCATCGTAAAGGACTTATTTAGGTAAATCAACTGTTGCGTCAAGAGTAATGACTACCTTTGACAACATCTTCTTCTCTTCCATACCATGTTGTGCTGGTAGTTATGTGTATCCACAACCTTCTGTCTCGAGTGCTTTCAGTCAGATCTTCCATTTCATTATGACAAACTGTCCAGCATTTTCTCTTTCGGTCTCCCTCTGCTTCTTTTCACCTCCGACGTTCAACCACGCGACGAGCTGGAGTTTTCTCTTCCTCATAATATGACAAAAGAATTTTGATTTGATTCTGGCAAATAGTATTTTTAAGAGCATCTGGCTAATTATTATTATTATTTTTAATAAATCATTCCAAGAACAAACAAATGGCACAACTCACATTTCCGCCAGCGTTGAAGTCTAAGCCGAACTTGTTCTTGGTTCCTGTTCCCTCGTCCAGTAGGTGACCCACTCCCTGCCAGAATTTTCCAGGTTTGCAAGGAAACGGAACGGACGCTCCGTTGGGTATGGCAGACTGGAATATTTTGTAGGACGACACATATTGCACGGACAGCAAACATAGAATAACACTGAAAGCAAATGTTAGAGTTTGTTGAGTTTCATTCACAGGACGTTGTAGAACAAATGTAAACATTTTTTTGTCTTCTAATTTTTTTTTAATATTCAATTTTACGCTCTATAGTTTACCGTTTTTAGATGAAGACGCACCATCTTCCATGGCTTGTATACACCTTCGGCGTCTGCATCGTTTTTCGTAAACTGTACCCGCCATGGCCGTTGTCTCCAGGCCATCACGACGTTTAACATGAGCAAAATACTTGAGCTTTCGGGACAAGATGCTGTTTGTGAGCCAACTCTCTTCGATGATCAGATCATGAAGGATTTTTTTTTTTTTTTCTTACTGGTCTAAGGTCTTCTATGAATGTTGTTCAGTTCAAAAGCTCGCATTTGTTTTCTTCCAAATTTAGGAGCCACGACTCATATCCGTAAGTTACCACAGGAAAGATACATGATCTCAAAACTTAGACTTTAACTTGCTTGCAGGTGTTATGTCATTAGGTTGTTCATGCTGTTTTGTCTCTGTACTGCTGAAGCTAGTGTTTGTCTGGATTCTCTTGTGCATTAGCCGTTGTTGTTCGCTATTTAGCATAAATATGCACAATCTGTGACATTTGTTAACCTCTTCGTTATCGATTTTAATATGTGGTTGGGCTGTTACATTTGTTGTGGAATTCTTTTTAACTCAGAAAACAATTTTCTTCTCTACATTTTTTTTAACTGTCAGAATTAATCTTCTAATCCATGAGCACTTTTGGAAAAGAGAGCTGTTTGGTATGCATATCTGAGATCCAGGATAGGCACACACACGCGGAAGTATTGCCTCCAGCAGTGCGTGCAAGCTTATGTTCCTGTAACAACAAAACAAGGTCAAAACGCTTGAAGTATGAAGCCATGCGTGGAAACTGCCGTTTTTAAAGCTACAAAACGTCTTTGTGGCGGTAAAGTGTTGGTTGCCTTCTCAAACGATGTCCTCTACTCGACAAAGACTCGTATTTACCGCTGCCTTGTTTCTCTACAGGCTAGATTGCAGTCCGTTAAAAAGAAAAAGCTAAAAACTGTGAAGAAAACGTTGGCAACCAAGACCGAAACCCGTTACACTCTAGTGATCTCGGTTATTATTATTTGATAACTATTAAAATCGTTTTCAGCAGCGGAGTTTCTGTACAAACCTTGTAGACTGCATGTTTATAGACTAGGAGAGGGATAGGGCAGCTGTGCAACAGTCACCTTGGACATGGTATTATATTGTTGGATAGAGAGGACAACGCAATACCAGCTTCATGTTGATAGATGCAAGCATTTGAAGGAACTGTAGGAACCCCATGACAATTGGTCAAGAGTTTTCTTAGTATCTCAGTGGAGTCTTTTTGTTGTTGTTTTTCTTCTTCTTCTTCTTCTTCTTCTTCTTCTTCTTCTTCTTCTTCTTCTTCTTCTTCTTCTTCTTCTTCTTCTTCTTCTTCTTCTTCTTCTTCTTCTTCTTCTTCTTCTTCTTCTTTTCTTCTTCTTCTTCTTCTTCTTCTTCTTCTTCTTCTTCTTCTTCTTCTTCTTCTTCTTCTTCTTCTTCTTCTCTCTTCTTCTTCTTTCTTCTTCTTCTTCTTCTTCTTCTTCTTCTTCTTCTTCTTCTTCTTCTTTCTTCTTCTTCTTCTTCTTCTTCTTCTTCTTCTTCTTCTTCTTCTCTTCTTTCTTCTTCTTCTTCTTCTTCTTCTTCTTCTTCTTCTTCTTCTTCTTTTTCTTCTTCTTCTTCTTCTTCTTCTTCTTCTTCTTCTTCTTCTTCTTCTTCTTCTTCTTCTTCTTCTTCTTCTTCTTCTTCTTCTTCTTCTTCTTCTTCTTCTTCTTCTTCCTCATCGTATTCTTCTTCTTTTTTTTCTTCTTCCTTATCGTATTCTTCTTCTTCCTTTGCGTTGGCCCCTCGAATGCGTGTTTTGTTATGGTTTACAGATAGGCCATGCAATTTGCACCTTTCGGACCAACAGATCCCTTGTCATCAAACCCGTCAAATAGTCGCCACTTACGGAATGTTTACGAGGCAGTGAGTTGGAGCAAATCTGCCTGAGAGACAAGGAACCAACAGGCTGCATACATATATGCCAGACGTTTCATCTGCAAAACTAGAGTTATGAAACAAGACTAAGTCCAGAAGTGGACGAACAACCAGGATTTTCCGCCAGAGTTAGCAGCTCGTAAACGCAAAGAAGAAGAAGCAGATATCCCATATACTCCAATTGCCTTTCTAAAAGCTCTTCACATTTAAACAAAAAGTTGCTAGTTTAAAGTATTCTTTTGTTATACAAACATAGCTTTCTTGACGTCTGTAGGTCAGCTCTACATATTTCACTCACTAACTATGCACATTTAAGGAATCTAATTTAAAGCAAAAGCAAATGGACGTTGTTTAGTCGAAGAAATAATTGGCATATGATACAACAACATTTAGTGTGAGAATGGAGGTGGAGGCAATCACTGCAGCCTTTCGCTGGTTTAAAAACATGTACAGAAAGCATGTACATATATGTCATAATTGTAACTGATCCGCAGAGTATGTTGAGAAAGGTGAAGACCATTATACTTCTTGCAGAGTAGCAAGCATCGTTTCAATTGTCCCAGTAGTTATCGTCCTATGGATATTTTCTCCAGGTTATACCAGTGTTTTAAGAAACGATCAGACAGATAGACTGGCTGGTTCTGCAGCACATCGTGGTGAACTGATGCAAGACTAGCTAGATGTAAGGGCCCGTTAGTAGCGAGTGAATAATACGAAAGCGCAAATAGATAAACAGGTCTATGGAAGAGTTACCAGGGAATCTTGCTGACGCTCAACACATACGGGAAAAACGACCGTAACAGACAGTTACGGGTGTCATCGCTTGCTGCTGAAGTTGGGGACGGTGCGTTATGGAAATGTCCCGAGTGTTGAAATGTCGAATCTTAATTCAACAGTCAACACTTTTGAAGAATGCAGTCCAGTACTCCCTGTACATCTGTCATCATTCCCTAAATAAATGGCTGCATATATTGTAACATGTATTTTTCACGCTGGTTTCCCCCCAAGGTTTGTGGTTCTTTCTTATTTCTTTGTATTCAGCTGGAGTCTAAAGCAAACGTTATGACAAAGCCAGCGTGCATTCACACGATGCTCTGTGGCAAATATCTTCAGTTCTCATGTAACGTACAAAAGGTGCATGTCAGTGTGTGCCCAGGTTTGGCATCTCAGGTTTCCTTCATCCTCAGTTCCAATGTCTAGTTCTGCCCATTATGCTGGATGTTTACATTGTAGCTCTGTATTTAAAAAAAATAGTTTTTTAAAAATACGGTCAAAGTTCAGTTTATGCTGGTGCTGGCATGTCCTACCCACGCTACACACTCATCCACCATCTTTTGAGTTTAGACTGAATCGACTTAAATTATTACCGTCGAAATAATGTACATTTTGGGCGCCGAGTTAAATGAAAGAGGTGAGGAACTAGCTAAGGAAGGTGCAAATGAAGAACAACCTGATGTTTCAGCCTCGTATCATTAGAAGAAGAGAACAATCAAACCAGACAGAGGGCTATCCAAGAACTGGCACAAGATGGTTACAATATTATGGACACACCAGAGCATGTGATTATTCTATGCTTTTTTTTTTTTTAAATATCCAGAAACCATGAGTTGTTAACCCTTTGGTCCGGTACTATTAATATCGCAACCCTTCGGCCTTGATTCCATAATAGGTACCGTAAATCTGGGAAAAATGTAACTTTTCTGCTTACGCCCGGGAGTGTACCCGGACCACAAGGAGCTTGTCCCCCGGTCACCGCGAACTCAGGTTTAACCTTAGAATAGGGTACAATTGACTTCGCAGCCACCTGAACACAAAGGTAAGACTGGCGAATAAGCCATATGCATATGTGGATTGGTACCTAAAACAACTGGTCACGTCCTCCAAGACTGTTCCAAAATACAACATTCCGAACAAAACTTCTGACTTATAGAGACTCTGATTGAAGCCAACCTGTACGGGTCGCTAAGTGAATTACACAAGAACAGTGAAGGTCTTAACAGAGACAACACTGCAGACATAGATAATTTATTTAATGCCAACGAAAGAAAAAGGAATCGGTTTTTTGGTTTTGTAGAAAATGAATACCTGGACAGACTAGAAAAAACATTAGAGTAATAAAGATGCCTTAAAAGAAACTGACTCACCAAGAGACCTGACTGTCCACGGCAGAGGCAGACTGTCTATATTCTTTGGCCATGATATGAGATGCAGAAAAGAGTACATCGTGGCAGTTGAAAAAGTTGGAGAGTGAAAGAGGCAGCGGGAGACTGGGAGAGATAGTTTGCCGTTGTTACAATGAAGACCTCTTGTGGCAGACCTAGTTGACAGTACACGAGACAGAAGATTGTGGATTGACATGGCTATAGGTTACACGAGATAAATTAGAAGAAGAAAACTTTGGGTGAAAAGATATCCTGGTTCTGTTCAAAATTCGGCTATTTAATTTTTAACTTTCCCATTTCTTTCTTTCATTGAAATCAACTGTCTTTAACGGCAGGTGTATCTAAAAAAAAAAAAAAAAATTAGTGATTGCGATAGATCAGTCAATGGTCCGTCCGGGGTGCTTTCTACTGATTTTTGGTCCAAATTTTTGACTCAATGGGAAAGTTTTGAGTACTGTCAGTGATAACATTTCACATGTGCACATGGCTGATACGAAAGGTTTACAGTTGTAAATTTATTTTCAGACAATGACAGGATTTTTACACAGGCCGACGTGTTTTGATTTTGTTTTAAACTAACGTTACAATATATTTTTAGAATTTTGGTTTTGACCGACATAATTTGGAAAGACGGGCTTGAAGGTTCTGTTGAGCAGACTTGGTAGCTGCTCTACGAGTGAAGCTTCACCAGGTGAACATACGGACGTTGTTCTGATCTGGCAGCTTCTACTGCCTTCTTTGTTCCATATGTAATGGTGTCGACTTTCCTTTGGAATCAACACAACAGGGCGAGTGAAGAGTCATACTGTATGGTTAATGCTAGCTCCCTGGACAATACTGACCTGGCTGTGTGGTATGCACAGAGAGAATTTCATATCTCTCCTTGACAGTACCGTCTTTTGCTGTGAATCTTAAGCATATTTGTATTAAAAAATGACACTATCGTCTGGAAAAATAAAATAGGCAGGTAAGTAACTTGCACCCCACCAGGACATCAAACAGAACGATAAACACCCGGTGACACAAAGTGCCACCAAGCGAATGATGATCACCCATGGAGAGGTCCCGGAAACCCCGTGCAGCCGTTAGGCAATATTTAAAAACAAAAAGACTTATTAATCGGCACTCATAGAAAGTAGTTGAAAGATAGAAGAACACACTATACAACAATAAAATCAAAAGCTTTAGTTACCGTGCCGGGAATCGAACCTATCACCTCCAGACGGCTTTTGCGCCTCGCTATGAAAACAAGTGCACTAAGAACATGTACATAAGTTTTGCCTTGCAGAAAACTAGAACCGAGGTCTTCAGACTAACGTATTTTTCCCAAAAATAAGAAAAAAAATCTTACAATTATGTGTTGAGCCTTTTTTCAGGATATGTTTTGTTCTTTTTTGTATTTTTTTCGTTATTTGTAAGCCCTAATCCGGTTGTTGTCTGTGACTCTAATTTAACCCAACCCATGAGTTCAACAGGGTTTCTTGGACCTGTCCCCGGGTGATCCTCATCCTCATGGTAACATTTTGTGTCATGGGTGCTTTATCGCTTTGTGTGGTGTCCTGTTGGGGTTGAACGTCAATCAATCATTCATGTGTTTAAAAAAAATCATATTAGTATTTTTATTTTTTAAAGAATCAATTTCAATAGTATTTGTTTTTATTATTTTTTTACACTAATTACTATATAATTTCAAAACGTCTGTTGTAGGTTTTAACAAGCGAATGAAATCCTTCCTTCTGTGGGATGATCTGAACTAGGACTTATGTTTGGGTAGGGCTTATAATACCAGCGTCCTGAAAAATCACACTGTGGCTTATCTGCGAATTAGGTCTTACCCTCGGGGAAACAGGGTAAGAACTTTATTTGTAAAGGGTTAAGAATTGAGCATGCGGACATAGTATTCTGCCCTTTGAGGGTACATATATTTAGGTCCCCTGAGTTTCAGGGTTGTGTGATTTTAGTAAGTAAGGGATCAACTCGTATTGTGTCATTTCTATGAAATCTAACCAAACAATGTATTGTCATTTGAAAAACCTACCCGAAAAACATGACTGGTTGGTGGAATATTCCGGGATGACTTCGTGGATCGGTGTGGTTAAGTGCAGATTTTTTTAGTTGAACCAGGAATATTCCGCCTCAAACCTTGCCGACACGAGCCTGTACAATTCTGGGTCACTTTATATACGTTTTCATTCAAGCTGTGATGTCAGGTTACAAAAAAAAAAAATGTAGATCCGAGATCTTATTTACGAACTATAATGGACGCAATTTCTGTTTTTCTTGCCAAAACCGGTTTGGGGTGAACGTTCTAAAGAAATATAGTTTAAAATACAGAAGTGATTCATTAGTGACTGTGTCCTGTACAGAACACTAACGGTTCCTAGATACTGTGATATAGCTAGAGTTAGTGCGCTCGACTCTTAACTCAGTGAATATTGAGGACTGTCATTACAGTGCGTCAGACAGATTCATAGGTGCTCTGCTCTCTCTCTCTCTCTTAGCAGCTCATCAAGTGTAAAATGACTGATCACACCAGTTACGTCTTGATTTTCTTTTTCTTCATTCGTTTGCTTGAGATAGATTATCTATATCTGCAATGTTGTCCTAGTATGAACTTCACTGTCTGTTGTAATTCACTCAGCGACCCGTAAAGTTTGGCTTGAACTGGTGTCCCCCTTAACCAAGAGTTTTTCCTGGATATGTGGTATTTGGGACAGTCTTGCAGGTAGGTGATCTGTTATTTCAGGTGCCAATCCACATGCACTGTGTTGATTACACAGACACCTTGTGTCTTTGGTGAAATGTACATATCTGACAGCCCAGATTGCACGGCCAGTGTCCACCCGCCTAGGACAACAATACTGAGTCCTGCTTGTTGCTATGATCCTCTTCACTACATGCATCTCGTATGGCAATAATAACATCACTTTTGTCCAATGCCAGGTCGGTCTTGGCAACCGTCTTGCTAATTCAGTGGTTTCCGGGTAAAAAACCAGTCAGATGTTGTATTGTTGAGCGAGCTTGTGTCGCTGAATTCCATCTACTCTTATACAGTTTGTGGCCACATCACCCAGAGTGCCGATTGCTCTATAATATATAGGTCTAATTGTTAATTTCTTAATACAGTGGAGGTGTGGGGAAAGGTACTTTACTTTGCTTTAAATCGTGGGTACTTTTAACCTTTTTCTGTATTCTCTGACGACTGTAACCTCCTGCTTCAGATAGGCTAAGCTAGTAGACATACAGAAGAACCTAGCTCGCCTAGGTTCGGAAGATCGTGAGTTCGGTTCTTGACGGATCCATAATTTTTTTTTAATTTACTGTCCCTGGCACCCAAGTCGATGCAGCCTAGAGTAGGTACCAGGTTCAGTCCGGGGAAGTAAAGGTGGTCGGTGGGATGCTAACCACATCACCCACCAATGTCAATTTGTCTATACAATTTGTCTATACAATTTGTCTATCACCTACCAATATTGTATATATATATATATATATATATATATATATATATATATATATATATATATATAGAGAGAGAGAGAGAGAGAGAGAGAGAGAGAGAGAGCGAGCCATATATGATAAGGGTCCACATCCACTATATGTCCTACCTGAATATCATCTTCATAAAACACATGGGCAGAAAAGACGACCGACAGCTGAGAAGATCCTGGATAACCTAAACAGTCGAAGAATGGTTGATCAGAGACCGACCACACAAACGAGTGAACCACCTCAACTGTATATTCGCGATATTACAAATTATATTGCTTAACTGTCTGCCAGCTGCGACAGAACATGTGGGTTCAGTTATCTTGTGCGCCCCCCCCCCCCCCCATTAAAATGACTTTAGGGTGCGTAGTTATTCCCCTCTCCCGTTAGAAATGACTGTAAAGGGGGGGGGGGCATAATTACCCCCCCCCCCCATTAAATATGAATTTACGGGGGCATAATTATCCCTCCCTGTTAAAAATGACTGGGGGGGGGGCATAATTATCCCCCCAGCCACCCATTCAAATGACTTGGGGGTGGGGCCATAATTATAAATCCCACCCTTTTCCATACGCTTAGAATATTTACAAGGGGGAAATGAAATAGACATTCTCTTTTTTGTGTATTTGTTTGTACATTTTATATTATTTAAAATATATTATTTTATTCATTTGCCTTAGTGTTTTTTTTTTTTTTTTAATTATTGTGTTGCGGCGCCGTAGCGAAAAGGTTAGTGAATGCGGCTGACAATTCCATGTTCATCATGTACTAGGGTTCGTTCCCTGGGGTGCTCCTGTTTGAGGGAAAAACAGATAAAGTTTTCGGGAATTTCGGACAATGGTACTAGAGTCGCGCCGTGGAAGAAAATAGGACCTCATCGCATAAAAAAAAAAAATTAACAGACAGCAGGTACACTGCAGGCAATGTTCATTGTGGAGACGGCACGATTTTTGTTGTTATTATTATTATTATCATTATTATTATTATTATTATTACTATTATTATTATTATTAATACGAACTTGGGCAATGCTTAAACGTGGTCAAATGATGATCCTACTCCACGCAGTAGTAAATATTAACATGACTGACGCATTCCCCCCCCCCCCCCCCCCCCCCCCCCCCTCCTCTTTTCGTTCCCATGATTATTTTGTGGCGTCGCCCCTACAGTCTGAATACATTCAGGTAATTATGTCATGCTTTTTGTGGCTATTCAAATGCGTCCTTTTCCAGTTGATACCAAAACAGAGACTGCCGCTAGTGGGGCGGATTGCTTGTTGCTTGGTGTCCGGGTGAAGTTGATTTTATTTGTGGTGCAGTCTTCATGTTAATGGACAGTAATAAACAATAGTTTTAGGCTCTGGTTGCTTTCAGGCGCGGATTTAATTGTTAGCCCCTGCTGTTGCAGTCTACATGTTAATCAACAGGCGTTACCAAACAAAGAAATAAACTACTTCAACTGTCTATTGGCTGTCTTACTTGCTGCTAAACACCCCACCCCTTCTCCTCAACCCCCCCCCCCTTTTTTATTTTAAATTTCCCCCTTCTTCCCCTCTCTTTGAAAATTGGTAAGCAAGTAAACTTTATCTTTCTCCACACATAGACACACACGTACACACATATACACACAAAACATGTAAATACGTTTTCTCTATATTTATTAATTTAAACAAATAAATTATTAGATGTATTTGCCATTTGGCATACTACTACTTCTTCTACTACTACCACTACTACTACTTCTTCTACTACTACTACTACTACTACTACTACTACTACTACTACTACTACTACTACTTCTACTACTACTACCACTACTACTACTACTACTACTACTACTACTACTACTACTACTACTACTATAACTATTATTATTATATTTTATGATTACTATTATAAACATATTTGTCAGAAGCAGATTGCTGTTTGTGTCGTGTGCTGATGAAGCCTTTTTAGCCGAGACGTTGATTTTCATTTGTAATTATCGTTCCGTGCAGCTTAGTTCTACTTCTCTTTAGAACTGATATTTTTTTTTCCCCTCACACTTACACATACACAAACACTTGGTGAGGTCACACTCATCATCAACATAAACCACGTCTGTCGTTAAGCGACGTGAGGAGGAATAATTTGCGATCCAGTGCACACTGGCTGCCACTGGCTATTGTCATGTCGTGAAGGCGTAGAGTGTCTTTAATGTTGTCGATCCAAATTTTCCGCAGCCGTCCTCTTGCAGCTGATCTACTGATGTGTAGTGCTTGTGATGGAATTTGACCTTGCTGCATTCTAACGAGATGGCCAAAAAACCACTTGATCTGCTGTTTCTCGATGAATCTAGTACAAGGTGTCGTTCACACAAATTGCCTAATAGTATCATTTTTCATTGGAGCTTGGATGGTTAGGTTGGCTGCTTTTCCTAGGCACCTCATTTCACAGGTGGTTATTTTACCTATATGGGCTTAGGATAGTGTCCATGTTTAGCACTGGTAGCCTAATGTTGGAATGAATATGCTGTTAATAACATGTCTTTTTGCACTCATAGTTATGTTTGGATGTCCTAATAATGGTGACAATTGGTATATAAGTGCACTTGCTTTCTGACATCTGGTTTCTTTTTCTCTGTCAATTCTACAATCTTCTGTGATCATACTTCCTAGATATTCAAACTCACTAAATTGATTCAGAGCAGAACCATTCAGCTGTATGTGTAGTGTGCCAGGGGTTCTACTAACTTGCATTGTTTCAGTTTTGTTTGCATTGATCTTCATGTTGTATGTATTGCATGCTGAGTTTAACCTGTTAATGTCTAACCTGCAGTCTATCTTCCTCAGGGTAGAACAAGCACTGGTCGTCAGCAAATAGTACTTCGATTAATGTGGGTAAATCGATAACTTCTCCTGATGTGTGTACTTCGTCGTGATTATAAAGATCTTTGTCGTCTGTATCAGAACTTGCTTCTTTAGATATTCTATTTTATATAAATGTTAAATAAAAGTGGGGGGAGCACACATCCTTGTCTCACACCTGTGTTGACTATGGACATATCTGATATACCTTCTTGTGTTTTCATTCCACTTTGGCTTGTGTGGTACACGGCTATGATGTTCTCTATTAACTATCCTTGTGCCCCGGAGTTCTCAAGAGCAGACTACTTTTTGTTTCTTTCCACTCTATCAAAAGCTTTTTCCTGATCTACAAACAAAATAATCTGATGGGTATTATACTCAATGGCTTTCTCACACACTTGCCTCAGAGTGAAAAATGCAAGATCATACGGAGACCTGTTAAAAGCAAGATACCACAAAGTCCCTGGTCAGATACACCAAACAACCTGGCAGTTCCAAAAAAGCAGGCAAACATCGTGCCTGTTTTATTGTTGTTATTGCTGTTGCCGTTGTTGTTGCTGATGTTGTTGCTGTGGTGATGGCGACGGTGAATATGGTTCAGAAAAACATTGTGAAGTCTCAACCATTTTACTTCCTTCGATCATATCATGTGGAGTACCAGCGTTAAAGAAACAGTTGGAACAAGGCAATGCCTGAATCATACCAAGAGCTGAAGAACGAAGAAAAACAGGCAAAACTGTATATGAGTTCGTCAATAGAAGTCTGAGAGAGTCTGCAATCAAGACAAGAGACGGAGAACGAGGAAACATCAGTCAGACAAAACTGTATAAGAGTCCGTCTATAGAAGTCTGAGACAGTGTGCAACCATGACAAGAGACGGAGAACGAGGAAACATCAGTCAGGCAAAACTGTATATGAGTCCGTCTATAGAAGTCTGAGACTGTGCAACCAGGACAAGAGACGGAGAACGAGGAAACATCAGTCAGACAAAACTGTATATGAGTCCGTCTATGGAAGTCTAAGACAGTGTGCAACCAAGACAAGAGACGGAGAACGAGGAAACATCAGTCAGACAAAACTGTATATGAGTCCGTCTATAGAAGTCTGAGACAGTGTACAACCAAGACAAGAGACGGAGAACGAGGAAACATCAGTCAGACAAAACTGTATATGAGTCCGTCTATAGAAGTCTGAGACAGTGTACAACCAGGACAAGCGAGAGGCGTGTTGGGCTTATAGAGCACAATTTATATGTAATCAGCATCAAGTCAGTCCCATTTACTTGCCAACACTGCAGCTGGTACCTATTCAAGGCTGGGTCGGCTGTTAGCCAAGGTCATTTAAAAACAAAACCAGTCCGGCTCTATCAGGACCCAAACCCACCACATTCCGATCCGCAAGCGAGCGTCTAGTCGCTACACCACGGCGGTTACGCAAAAAAGAGAGGACAAATATAGAAAATCAGCACACTGGGCTCAAGGTTAAAGGTTATGGTTGAGTGGATTGTCTCCACGGCACCAGGTTTGATCACCATATGGCTTGGTCTCTTTCTTTTTTTCTCTCTCTCTCTCTTTCTCTCTCTCTCTTTCTCTCTCTCTCTCTCTTTCTCTCTATCTCTCTCTATCTCTAGAAAGGCTAAAGGCTAGCTGCCTGCCGAGATCGGGGCACAAAGCACGAACTCCGTAGCTTCCGCGACGACCCTATGGGTCTCATAAAATTGTGCTTGTGAACCCAATGAGATAGCCTTGACACGAACCTACGACCTTCAGAACGCGAGGCGGACAGGCTAACCACTTCAGCTACACTGTGCTATAACCAGGTAACAGTGTATGTATACAATCATCATCATCAACATCATCATCACTTCCTGTTGTGCCTCTGTATGTAACGTAAGGATCGTAGCTTATACATACATTCCTCTATGTCCTGCCCAATCACTTCAATGTCCCAGCTGGTTCAGCACCTCTGACCTCTGACCTCTCTCATCAACGCTCGATTCAGAGTTTCTTTTGGGCGTCCCCAACCTTTTAATTTCCCACTGTAGCGCCTCTTTGGCGATTCTGTGCTCATTTCTTCTCAGGATGGGTCCACTATGGCCCATTTTCTGTGCTTTATAACGGCTGATACTAGTGGTTGTCGAGACATTTCTTTTATTTCATCACCACTCCTGAAGAATTCCTCCCAATTATTGTTCATTATTTACGTAGAGTATTGATAAATGAATATGTTTATACACCAGTTAGTGTATAATGGAAAATAGAATGCTTACTGCGGTGGAAAAAAAACACAACTCGACACCC